TCAAATTTCTACTTGTGGATAATAGTGACAGAGCCCTTCCAGAGCCATACAAACGGAAGCAGGATTTTTTTTTTTTTATATCCTCAAATCCAGTTTTAGGCTTGAACGAAGTCAGCTGTTGTCTGTGTGGTAGCTGAGAAACAACTGTCTCTCTTTGCCTGTGTTAGCACGTACATGCAGTTAACTTGCAGCGTGTGAAAGACCAGACCAAGCATACCAGTTATGTGAATGAGAATTGTTTTCAGTCTTCATTATCCCCTGTTTAGTGTTCCTGGGGATCCTGAGGCAGTCTAAGAATCTGAACCCTTCCTACATGAGGAAAAGGAAAGCTGAATGGCCCGTGTGTGCCCATAGATACTTGCATTCTCCGGTTTTCCCTGGTTCTAGTTGTGGTTTGAATGTGCTGCACATGTATTCTGGGTGTTTCCATACACAAGCAATTCTTTGCAAGTGCTAAACCCAAATCTATGTTGTAGGTAGTTTTGTCTCCAGTCTTGCACCATTCCCTGTCTCTTGGACAGACCTTGGACAGTCATGTCCCTTGCTGTTCTTGTCTGGGCTTCTGGAATGGACTCTGGGCCTGCTTCCCTACCTCCCCGTGTATGGCACATCACTGAAAGGCTGAAGGAGCTGATCGCTCTCACCACCTCAGCCCTCCTTAGGTGTTGCAAATCTGCATTCTGGGGAGTTAGGGGATGGCCTTACCTGTGCTGTTGTCACCCTTGGTGCCTGACTTTAATGGAGTAGCCTCACTCTCACTGCTCCCTGACATCTGTGTATATATACCGATACAAATATATATGCTCTGTAGTGTGTGTGTATATATATATAAAGTGCATCTGTGAGTAAATAAGTAATATATTATGCTTATTTGTATACTCCCTTATATCTACATTTATACATATATTTATTTTCTGCATTCTTTATTTCTTATTATATATTCTTGTTTTGTTGCCCCAGCGCTGGCAGCAGTGGCTGCAGGGCAGCCCTTGTGCAGAGCCTGTACCACAGCTGGTTCCAGCCAGCTCCAACCGACCCACCACGGGGCATGCCTCAGCCCTTCCGCCACAGGTGGGGTACCTCGGGGAAAAGATATTTAGGAAAGGCCATAAACACAGTACAGACTGCGAGGGGTGAGGGGGAAAAAGTGTGAGAAACAGCCCTGCGAGCACTGAGGTGCGAGGTGCAGGAGGAGGGGGAGGAGGTGCTCCAGGCGCCCGAGCAGAAGTTCCCCTGCAGCCCCTGGAGAGAGCCCAGGATGGAGCAGGTTTATCCTGAAGGACTGCAGCCCATGGAAGGGCCCACCCTGGAGCAGGGGATCAGTGTGAGGCGGAGAAAGGAGAGGCAGAGACAAAGCGTTATAGACTGACCCTGTAACCACACATTCCGCGTCCCCCTGTGTGACTTGGAGCATGTGTGAGGGAGGTAGAGGAGCTGGGAATGAAGGAGAGGAGTTCAGCCTAGGAAAGGAAGGTGGGGTGAGATGTTTAGTTTTCTTTGTTTCTCTCTATCCAAATCTATTTTAACTGGCAATAATTTAAGTTAATTTCCCCAAGTCAAGCCTGTTTTGCCCGTGACAATAATGGGTAAGTGATCTCCCTGTCTTTATGTTGACCCACAAGCATTTTCATCTTATTTTCTCCCCTTGTCCTTTCAAGGAGAGGGAGTGAGAGAGTGGCTGGGTGGACATCTGGCACTCAGACGAGGTCCACCTACCATATTTCTATAGTCTATGTTCTATATAGTCTTTATATAATGAACATCTGTTTCTCTATATAGAAACCTATGTATATACAAAAATGTGTATGTATATATATATATTGATATGAACAATTCCTGGTCCAAAGGAAATGAGCAGCCAGTCAGTGGGTGGTCTGAGATCATGTGGGTGTTACAGTTTCAAGAAAAATGGCAACCATACAATCACAGAGAATTATGAAAACACGTGAGGTATGACATAAAAAAATGTGGGTCTCTGGGTATATCATAGGCAGGAGCATCCTGTTCTGATGCCTTTCTCATGTAGACAGGAAGAGGCAGCTGGTCCTATCAGCCAGTCACAGAGCAGCCTGTAAACAAGTGCTGTACAATGTTTTACAGAATGGCAAGCCCTGGGGGCAGAAAGAGGTGAAGGGAACAGATGAGGTGACTGGAAGATATACAGGACTTTGGGGCAATTGGGACACATGGCAGGCAGTAGAGGCAGGGCTTCCACTGCCAGTGGGGTGGTGGCACCTGTCCTTCTCATACTGGGTCAGGTTTGTCCTCTGTCAACGTCCGTCCTGTCTGTAACCTCTGTGCTGTACCCTGTGCTCCCACCTGTGTGCACCACCCCAGGTGTAGTCCAGCAAAAGGGAACCGTCACTGCCCTTCACATGGTGGCAGGGCTACGGGGGATGCAGCCCAAGATATGGGCAGTCTTCATCTGATCTGGGTTTGGGCCTGCCCCATACCGTATACAGGACTTGACATTTGTTCATGTTGAATGTTATGAGATTACAGAATCACAGAACGGTCAGGATTGGAAGGGACCTCTGGAGATCATCTAGTCCATCCCCCCCTGCCAGAGCAGGGTCACCTACAACAGATTGCACAGGACAGCATCCAGGCAGGTTTTGAATGTCTCCAGTGTGGGAGACTCCACAACCTCTCTGGGCAGCCTGTTCCAGTGCTCTGCCACCCTCAAAGTAAAGACGTCCCTCCTCATGTTTAGATGGAACTTCCTATGTTCAAGTTTGTTCCCATTACCTTTTGTTCTATCCCTGGGCACCACTGATAAAAGACTGTTCCCGTCCACCTCGCACCTTTGGTTTAAGTATTTATAAGTATTGATAAGATCCCCCTTCAGCCTTCTTTTCTCTAGACTAAAAAGACCCAAGTCCCTCAGCCTTTCCTCATAAGAAAGGTGCTGCAATCCCCTGATCGTCTTAGTAGCCCTTTGCTGGAGCCTCTCCAGCAGTTCCCTGTCCTTCTTGAAGCAGGGAGCCCAGAACTGGACACAATACTCCAGGTGCAGCCTCAGCAGGACAGAGTAGAGGGGGAGGATGACCTCCCTCAACCTGCTGGCCACAATCTTCTTGAGGCATGCCAAGATGCCATTGGCCTTCTTGGCCACAAGGGCACATTGCTGGCTTGTGGTCATCCTCTTGTCCACCAGGACTCCCAGGTCCCTTTCCACAAAGCTGCTCTCCAGGAGGTCAGCCCCTAACCTGTACTGATGCATGGGGTTATTCGTCCCCAGATGCAGTACCCTACACTTACCCTTGTTGAATTTCATTAGGTTGCTCTTCGCCCAACTCTCCAGCCTGTCCAGGTCTCGCTGTATGGTGGCACAGCCTTCTGGTGCATCAGCCACCCCTCCCAGTTTTGTGTCATCAGCAAACTTGCTGATGGTACACTCTATCCCTTCATCCAGATCATCAAGGAATATATTGAACAGGACTGGACCCAGTACTGACCCCTGAGGAACACCACTTGTTACTGACCTCCAACTAGACTCTGCACCACTAACCACAACCCTCTGAGCTCTCTCCGTCACGACTGTTCAATCCACCTCACTGTCCATTCATCATACCCACACTTCCTAAGGTTGCCGGTGAGGGTGATGTGGGAGACAGCGTCGAAAGCCTTGCTGAAATCAAGGTAGACAACATGCAATGCCCTCCCCTCATCCACCCATACAGTCACGCCATCTTAGAAGGCTATCAGATTAGTCAGACATGACTTCATCTTGATGAATCCATGTTGACTACGTCTGATAACCTTCTTTTCCTCCAGATGCTTGGAGATGACATCCAGGATGTTCCATCATCACCTTTCCAGGGATGGAGGTGAGGCTGACCGGCCGATAGTTTCCTGGGTCATCCTTCTTGCACTGTTTGAAGACTGGAGTAACATTGGCTTTCCTCCAGTCCGCAGGCACCTCATCTGTTCTTCAGGACCTTTCAAAGATGATGGAGAGCAGCCCAGCAATGACTTCCACCAGCTCCCTCAGCACTTGTGGGTGCTTACCAATCAGGCCCCATGGAGTTGTGGATATGCAGTTTACCTAACTGCTCTCTAACTTGTTCCTCATCAACCAAGGGAAAGTCTAGGTTCCTACAGCCACTAAATCCTCAAAAGCACCTTTTTTCACTCTCCACAGTGCCGCAGTAAAAAAAGAGCAAATGCCCAGCAGTTCTTTGCACACCAAAGGTGCCAGGAGGAAAAACTCTGCCTTGTCCTCACTGCCTCCTGGAACCACTTTCAATGCCCTACACACTTTGGCACTCTCTTCTTTCCTAGTGACTAAACCCTCAAAATGCCCCTTTTTCACTCTCCGCAGCGCTGCTGTAAAAAAAGAGCTAACATCCAACTTCTGCTCCGACACCAAAGGTGCCAGGAGGGAAAACTGTGCCTTGTCCTCACTGCCTCCTGAAACCACTGGCATTACCCCACACACCTCAGCACTCCCTTCTTTTCTACTGATTCAGTCCTCAAAACGACCTTCTTTCACTTTCCACATCGCCACAGTGCAAAATAGTAAACATCCAGTCACTGCTCCCGTACCAAAGGTACCAGGAGGGAAAAGTGATGCTCGTCCTCACTGCCTCCTGGAACCCGTTTCAATGCCCCACAACTTTGCCACTCTCTTATTACCAACTGCCTACATCCTCAAAATGACATTTTTCACTCTCCACAGCACCGCAGTGCAAAAAGAGCAGACATCCAGCCACTGCTCCCACACCAAAGGTTCCAGGAGGGAAAAGTGATGCTCGGCCTCACTGCCTCCTGGAACCTGTTTCAATGCCCCACAACTTTGCCACTCTCTTATTCCCAACTGCCTACATCCTCAAAATGACATTTTTCACTCTCCACAGCCCCGCAGTGCAAAAAGAGCCGACATCCAGCCACTGCTCCCACACCAAAGGTTCCAGGAGGGAAAAGTGATGCTTGTCCTCACTGCCTCATGGAACTCCCTTTCAATGCCCCACAGACTTTGCCACTCTCTTCTTTCCTACTGGCTACATCCTCAAAACCCCCTTTTTTCACTCTCCGCAGTGCCGTGGTGCAAAAAGGGCAAACATCCAGCCACTGCTCCCACACCAAAGGTTCCAGGAGGTAAAAGTGATGCTTGTCCACACTGTCTTCTGGAAACTCTTTCAATGACCCACAGACTTTGCCACTCTCTTCTTTCCTACACGCTATATCCTCAAAACCAACTTTTTTAACCCTCTGCAGCGCTGTGGCGGAAAAAGAGCAAACATCCAGCCACTGATCCCACACCAGATGTTCCAGGAGGGAAAAGTGATGCTTGTCCTCACTGCCTCATGGAACTCCCTTTCAATGCCCCACAGACTTTGCCACTCTCTTCTTTCCTATTGGCTAGATCCTCAAGCCACCTTTTTTTCACACTCCGAAGCGCCACAGTGCAAAAAGAGTAAACATCTAGCCTGTGGTGCCAGATGGGAAAAGTGATGCTTGTCCACACTGCCTCCTTGAACCCCTTTCAATGCTGCACAGACAATGCCACTCTCTTCTTTCCTACTGGCTATATACTCAAAACCATCTTTTTTCACTCTCCGCAGCACCATGCTGCAAAAAGAGCAAACGTCCACCCTCTGGTGGAGGAGGGAAAAGTGATGCTTGTCCTCACTGCCTCCTGGAACCCCTTTCAATGTCTCACACACTCTGCTGCTCTTGTCGTTCCTACTGGCTACATCCTCAAAAACACATTTTTCATTCTCCACAGCGCCGCAGTGCAAAAAGAGCAGACATCCAGCCACTGCTCCCACACCAGGGTTCCAGCAGGGAAAATTTGTGCTTGTCCTCACTTCTTCCTGGAATCCCTTTCAATGCTGCACAGACTTTGCCTCTCTCTTATTTCCGACTGGCTAGACCCTCAAAACCACCTTTTTTTAGTCTCCGTAGTGCTGTGGTGCAAAAAGAGCAAACATCTAACCACTGATGCCAGAAGTGGAAAGTGGTGCTTGTCCTCACTGCCTCCTGGAACCCCTTTCAATGCCCTACAGACTTTGCCACTCTCTTCTTTACTACTATCTATATCCTCCAAACCACCATTTTTCACTCTTCACAGCGCTACGGTGCAAAAAGATCAAATATCCAGCCACTGTTCCCACACCAAACCTTTGCAACCAGCCTTCGGGAAAATGGAAAGAAAAGGTAGTTTGGACACTGAACTCAACAGGAACACTCTGAGCCCCAAGGTTTGTGGGGTGATGAAAGCGGTTCCAGGGGACAGTGAGGACAAGGCACAGCTTTGCGTGCTGGCCCGTTTGGTGTGGGCGCAATGGATGCATGTTGGGTAATTTTGCTCTCGGCCATTGGGAAAATGGCAAAAGGTGGTTTTGAGGTTGAAGTCAAGAGGAAACCCCTGAGTGCGAAGGCTTGTGGGGCGATGAAAGCAGTTCTGGGGGCCAGCGAGGACAAGGCACAATTCTGCGTGCTGGCCCCTTTGGTGTGGGAGCAATGGCTGGACGTTGGGCAATTTCTGGCCCCAACCATTGGGAAAATGGCAAAAGGTAGTTTTGAGGCTGAAGTCAAGAGGAATGCCCTGAGCCCCAAGGTTTGTGGGGCGATGAAAGCAGTTCCAGGGGCCAGCAAGGACAAGACACAGCTTTGCTTGCTGGCCCCTTTGGTGTGGGAGGAATGGCTGGATCTTGGGTAATTTTGCCCCCCGCTATTGGGAACATGGAAAAAAAGGTGGTTTTGAGGCTGAAATCAAGAGGAAAGACCTCAGCGCCAAGGTTTGCTGAGTGAGGAGGAAGCCAGAGGTTATTGGGGTCCTGGCCTATTTCTGGATAGGGGTCCAGCAGGGGATCAACCCTTAACCCTCAGAGTCGCCCACTGGGCAGGGGGGATATATTCTAGAGAGCAGGGCAAGCCACTGGCTATTAAAACTGCTGGGCTGTCTGGGCTAGCTGAATCTGTACATAAGGCTACCTGTATACAGGCCATGTATGAGTGTGGTCAGCAGGGCATTCCCCTTGCCGCTCCGGTAGATCTGTTCCACCTTAAACCGTTGATTAGAGGTCTCCCTGATTCTGTGAAAATGTATGTGCAAAACCTAAAGGAAACGATTGTACAGACAATTGACCATAATACTCGCAACCCGCACCAGCGGCAGCAGCCCGTTTTAATTTTGGGGGGAACTATTACATGAAATAGTGATTTTTGGTAGAGACACAGGTTGGTTAGAGGAAGATTCAAATTTACAGCGCCAGGTCCGGCAGGCACAGTTTGTCGGGCATAATAATCCTCGTCCTCCCCGACAAACTAATTCTTATTTTGACCCTCAGCGTAATGAATTGTGGAGAAAGGCATTAGCATTAGGAATACCCCGATCAATGTTACACGGGCAGTCCACAGAGAATATTCGTATTATGGTAAACCTCCTGGAGCAGCCTTTTAGCGAAGCTACAGAACATACTGATGCTGTTAAAGCACAGAGAGATAAACCCTCTGCTCCTGCGAATCCTTTCTCAGATTTAAAGAAGGAGTTAATAGATCTAAAAAACTAGAAAGCGCGGGAGCTATTTTAGGCCGACCCACCCGTGTAATATCTAACCTAGAATGGCCTAACCGTTTAAGTGACCCGCATATTATTTTAGCTACTGGCCCCACACGAATATCTGTAAATTTTCTAATTGATACTGCAGCTCAAATAAGTGTCATCACTGAAAAAAACAGGAAAAATGTTAGATTTAGTCCCCACCCGGAAGAAAATAAATATAACAGGAATGACTGGAGTCCCTGAAATCAGACCAATTGGTACGGTTTGTGTCTGGCTTCCAGGAGAAAACCGAATGACTAAGATAAAAGTAGTCATCGGTCCTTACCGTAATAACATTTTGGGATTTGATGTATTAGCACACAAAGTCTGGAGGCTGCCAGACGGGACAGCGTGGAGCTTTGGAGCCCCACCATGTGAAGTCCGGTTACTGGAGACAGCCACTAGGCTGCCTCCTTCCCAGGTAACAAATGTTAATCAATATCCACTACCAGCTGCAGCCAAAACGGGGATCAGGGAAGTTGTTAAAGACTTGGAAGCCCGTGGCATTATAATCAGGACCCACTCACCCTGTAACTCCCCAGTATGGCCAGTACGTAAAGTGGACGGTAGATGGCGACTCACAGTTGACTACAGGAGGCTGAATAGCAATGCAATGCCGCTGTTCCTAGCATTGCTGACCTGGTCACCCAGATTCAAGCTAACCACCACACATGGATGTGCACATTAGATGTTAAGGACATGTTTTTTATGATTCCTCTTCAGGAGGAAGATAAACCTCAATTTGCATTCACGTGGGAGGGAGTGCAATATACTTTTAATCGGCTCCCACAGGGATACAAACACTCTCCCACTATTGCCCGTAATGCATTAGCAAAAATATTGAAGGAGATAAAAGTACCAGATTTTTAACTGATTCCTTGTCGATCGTATATACGGTCAAGCAGCACTTTTCCATTTACTTGCAGGTGTGCCCCAACAAAAGGAGGGACGAGGAGTACGATGGGGTGGAGACCTGAGAGGCGTTGACCTGAAGTATGAACTGTGCGTGCACGGAATGGACAAAGTGTGCAGAACTTGAATGAGGACCAGAAGTTCTCGGTTGTTTTTGAGTTGTTTTTATTCTTCTGATCTTTGTATATTTGTTTTAATAAGGATAATTTGTTTGGTTGTTTGTTAACCTAAGTTTTAATATTAGGTGCTGTATCATGACTGTGATTGTAAGGCCTTTTGTAATAATAGTCATTAACTCTATAATAATCATAGGTATAAGTAGGCAATCTAGAATATGGAATAGACAGCCTCGGGCTTTTGAACAACATGTTGATGGATCCCCAATTATAAACGACACTGAACCAGACAATGTGATCTATAAGATGATACAAGGTTTTGCCCCCATGATCAATTTTTCTCATGTCTGCCTCTACCTCATACCCCCACTCAGGGGCTCCCCATAACAGCTCTCCCTGTGGATATGGGTAAATATTTAGATTGGCTCTAGAATCAAAATAAGTCTATTATTTGGGGTGAATTTGAATGGAGTTGACCATTTAACAATACACTAAATCGAACTTTTGTTTGGAGCTTAAACTGTTCCTATGCCCCTCTT